TGTTAATGGAGAGTACTTTGAAGGAATGCAATAGTTTTTTAAAAAAATCAAAATGTAATTTAGTTAAATAAAAATTGATTCTCAAAACTTTTCAGACACCCCACATATCACTCATATATAAAAATTTAAGCCACAATTAAATTTCCTTTTTTGTAAAGAACCTTTCTGTATATAGGAATTTCCAATTTTTTTCAAGTCAAAAAAAAACAAATTGATTAATCATGATTTTATATTTAGACTCTTGAAAATATCATGCAAATTTCATAAATTTACCATATGTAAAGATGATTGATATTTAAATTTTAAAATGCCAAAAATGAAGATTTACGGCAAGTAAACATTTTGGGCCTCTATGCAAGTAAGTAAGTAATAATAATCTTACTAAGATACTTAAATTCCAAAGAGTGCAGTATAATATACCACTACAAAAATAGTGAAAATTTGAAGATGACCAAAATTTTTTAAAAGAACTTATGTAAATATAAACATAAAAATACAGATGAAATTAAAACCAAATTGGTTGAGGCCACTGTATTGAAGTTTCAACAAAAACGATTTCACTAAAAATAGTTGAAATCAATACAATGGTTCATTTCCTTTTTTAGTTTAGGGGTGATTGATTAATAATATTCAAAAAAAAACTGGTATTTCTGAAGCATCACTGATTGTAAAGATCTCCTATTCTTCCTTCTCAAGAGCTAATGATCAAAAACTAGCAATGAGAAGTGATCAATTTTCTTTTTTCAAATTTGATTTTTTGGGAAGGAATTTTTTTCTTATTCACAGATCAATAATCTTTTCAACGGATGTATAATGATAATTTATGATAAAGACATTTTTTTTACAATATCATTACAATGATTTCAATATATTTGCATTTTACATAAATTTTGCAATCATGAAATCTTTGTGAATTGGATCTTTTCTATCAATGTATACATTTAAAATGAATATTTTTTACATGGTATTAGCCATTAGGTCTTAATGTTGATGTTAATGTTAATATATTTATTGTTATTATAAATCTAAAGAAAAATAATCTAACACAGTCAAATGAAACTATGGAATGTAATTAGCATTAGTAATTTTGGCATAATGAATTTTAAATGCAATTTTTCTTATGTATCTTAACAAATTTTATATGTTTATATAGTGCAAGTCACTTGGTCCCATAACTTTCTGTGCCATGCCACCAATTTTGAGAAAAAGTTTCCAATCAAAAATGCAATAAAAATTTTACAGTCACATGATTTTTGAAAATTGTCAAGTGCTAAATAAATATATTAAAATTTTTCTTTTACATTTATTCCTATATATACATATGTAAATGATGATTAGAACAATAAACAACAACAATAATGATTATAGTGATGTTATTAAATATTAGTTAAAATAAAAGAGAAATTTATATAAACTATTGAATGATTGATAAAACCTTTGTTAGTATATTTTGTTCATAGTTCTTGCTTGTCCTTAAAGCCTACTTCAATTACTCCTACACAAACTATTAAATAATTGATAAACATTCATTAGAATATTTTGCAAATTGCATATTTTTTTTATTAATGCAATAGTCTATTTATTAGATTTAAAATAAATGAACTTAACTGTTCTTTGTATTTTTTTTAATAATAAAGATAATTCTCTTCCCATTCATCTGGAAAATTCACGTGACAAAAGATCTGTAATATGGGAAATTTTTCAAATTTTTATTTTGTTTCAATTCGTCTATTTTTGATATTAGCTTTTTTGTGTGTAACACGTCATTTTAGGGTTAAACATAGTAAATTCGGTAAACTTGTGCAACTTTGAAGCTCAAATTCTCCACAGCAATATGACATGAAATTGTGATTTTGTAGAGGAAGGTCTTGGCTTCAAATACATGATTTATTTTGAGGCCATTTTTGGAGAATTTGGAAACCTACACGACCAATAAAAAGTTGTGGGACTAAGTGACTTGCATCATATATGCAAAATAAATTTTAAAAGTTCGTAATGCGGATATTATAATTCGTAAAAATTGTAAACAAAATTTTATTGTTATTACCTTTAGTAGCAAAGTTTACAATGCATCGATTTATTAATGTCATTCATTATATCTCAACCATAGAAATATAGTTGACTTTTTATTTTTAGATTTGTTGGATGATTTATGTATATATAATTGTTTTATAAATATTATCATCATAAATATTTTTTCAAAAATTAAATTATGCATACAAAATTTCCACTTCCATCATCTCCTTTTTATCAATGTCGCTATGTTTTTCACAAGGAATAGAATCAGCCTTAAAATAATTTAATATTGACATTTTTGTTACTGGTGGATTGTATGATAATGTTTCCAAAATCTAATCGTTAAGATTAGTATGAGTACATTCCAGATGTTCAATTATCATTATCATCATCGTCATCCTATTCATCATTTTATTCATCATTTTATTCATCTTCTTCTTCACCTTCCTCATCTTCTTCATTCAATCAGTATTATCCCCCTCGCCCTCATTATAATCAGTATTCTTTATTTTTTTGGATTTTGTAATTTATAAACTGATTTTGCAAACGGTAGTTCTAGTTCTTATTCAGTTTTTTGAAATTCGGTCTAGGAAATTATTGATAGACTGACGAATTACTCTTTGAATTTGTTGTAATTGTTATTGATGGCGTTGATGATGATGATAATGATGATAGTGAAGATAATTCATTGCTGTTATTATTATTGTTGTTGTTATTTGTATTAAGAAAAAATGAGCTGGTACTAACTGGCATCTTCTTAAATGTTCTTTGCATCTTCCACTTGATTCATATACACAGTAAATCTCGGTTTAACAAATAGTTTGGGGGAGAATTTTCCAAAAATCCGTTAAACCGAGATATCCACTACATCGAGAAGGTTTTTATTAAGGTTTATTATGGAACCGTTCTTTGAACTTTACCTGTAAAACCGAGTTTTTAAATTAGTATCCAAATCGAGATTCATGATTACAAATTTACTTCTTGGCTTCTTGGCTGTAACTAGACAAGTTTCGTTATGCATGAATATAATTTGAAATTCAAATTAGCCAATCAGAGTTTTGTATCCAACACCCTAAAATTTTTAATAATAATAAACTTCGAATTCACATGACTTTGATTTTGACTCCAACCATTGTCCGACTATTTGTCACATCAATTTGATCCATATCCACCGATTTTTGCAACATTTTGGGGCACATAAAAATTTCTAAGGGGTTACTATATAGAATTAGAAGCTAATTTCGCCCCCTTTTTTTTTGCTAAATCTACATATT